TTTAGTTAAAAAATTTTCGCTGAATCACTTCAGTGTCACACAAAAGAAAAGAAATCACTTAAGTGCCTCTGACGATAAAATCTGACGAAAAATCTTATGTGGCTTTTTTAATTAAATGTTAATGCCTATGTGGTTTTTTTTTCTGATAGAGGAAAGTCCACGTGGAAAAGAAATCAAATTATTTTTTATTTCCCTCCATGAAAATTACAATTTCAGATCTAACAGAGCCATTCTTCTTTAACCTTTCTCAGATCCCTTTTCACTAACCTCTTGCATGGCCCCAAAAATTAGGGATGTGCAAAACGGACCGTCCAAACTAGAAATTGCCTAGATTGGACCAAACTGGCCGGTTGGGTCCAGTTTCCGGGAATGTCGATCCAGTTCCTGATTTCTAAAAGTGGAATCGGTGTCCTGGTGGTATGGTTCCTAGTTCCAAGGGAGAACCGGACCGACTGGATCGAATCGTTTACATATACTTTTTTTTCTCTTTAAAAAAATTAGTAAAATGTAAAATAAACTATAAGTGAACTTCATTGACATAAATTCATTGACAAAAATTAGTAAAATGTGAATTAAACCCCAAGTAACTGGTTCCATTGGACCGGACCGGGGTTCGGTCCGGTTCCCGGTCCTAGGACCAACCAATCCGGTCCCCAGTTTCCAATTTTGGGAATCGATCCTCCCGGTCCAGTTTTTAGTTCTATCTTAGAATAGGATCAGACCGGGAATCGATCACTCCTACCAAAAACTCAATCAAATAAAAATGGGTGCTCTCCTGAAGCTCAACACAGCACCAAAAATGATGGTGTCATACTTTGGTCCTCTCTCTCTCTCTCTCCGCTTTCGCTCAATAAAGCTTCGTTCGTTTCATGAAAAATATTACGTTTCCGGAAAATATTTTCCAGGAAGCCATTTTCCTGAAAAATAACACAATTTTTCGGTATTCAACTGAAACTGAAAAAGTCTCGGAAAATATTTTCTGCCGTTCGGTATGAAAAATATTTTCCTTCATGAATTATTTTTAATAAATTTGTATATTGTATTTTTGTATTTTAATATTTCTTTTCTTTTCTTTTTTTCTGCTTTTTATTTCCCTTTCTTTCTTGCTCTGCCGATCGCCGGCCACGGTGACGGCCGGCGATCGGCCACAGGCGAGGCTTGGCCTCGCTCGTCCAAGGCCGGCAAGGTTCGCCGTGGCCGGCGACCGGCCTCGGGAGCAAGGCCTCACCTCGCCTCACTAAATCTGGTAAGGCTCGACCTCGAGCTCGGCCTTGCCTCGCCTTGCCAGATCTTGTAAGGCTCAACCTCGCCTCGCCTCGCTGGTCTCGAGCTCCGCCAAGCATCGCCGGATCTGGCGAGGCGAGGCTAGGCTTGGCTACGCTCGAGCTCGCCAGCCATGGGACGAGACGAGGGATGAGAGGACACGCAAGGTAGCAGCGGGGGAGGAGCAAACGAAGTGCGAGGCAGCAACGGAGGAGGAGCGGCTCTGGAAATCCAGCGATGGGAAGAGGAGAGGACGATGGGAACGATGGGAAGAGAAGAGGACGGGAAGAGGAGAGAGGAGAGGAGAAGACGGGAAGATTGGAAAATGATTTCCTTTCCTCAGTTTTCAAAGGAGCTTTTCCATTGACCGGAAAACATTTTCCTTGACCACTCATTTTCCGCCTCCCGAACACCAGAAATTATGAAAAATATTTTTTGAAAAAATATTTTCTGCGAAACAAACTGAACCTAAAGCTCTACACCGCACCAACAATGGCGGTCTCTTTGAGTGCTTGGATGCTCTCGGCTAAAGGCATTGCCGTGTCGACCACCGTACTCTCATAGGCTTTGGCTCCGAAGCTCTCCGTCTTGTCAATCTATAAGCTCGTGAAGGTTCATATCTCTCTCTTGTGGTTCGAACCTCTGTTCAACTTTCTCATCATCAACGGTGTAATCTTCGCTATAGCCGCTTTCTCCAAGCTCCAGAAAAAAAAAATCTCCATTCCAATTCGATTCATAACCATCGTGGCCAAAAGCGAATCCAAATCGTTCCCTGTTCCTGAATACTCTCCAACCTCCCACCTTCCTTGCGTCGCCACGATGGACGCACAGAACCAGAGCATAGGAGCTACTGGAGAAATAATTTGTTTTGAGTTTAGATTTATTCTCTTGGCATCTACAATGGTAATTGTCCGAATTAGGGTTTAAATTTGGTGTAAACTTGTTGAACGACATTGTTTAGGGTTATTTATGGTGACTCAAAGCGCTGACGAGCCGTGTCAGTCGAAGAAAAGATAAAACATTGCCACATCAGATTTCTGGCGTCCCAAATAGAAGTTGACAATTGAGTTCTTTTTTTTTTTTTTTGCCAAAGTGGCACTGAAGTGATCTAACGAAAAGTTTTGATACTAAAGTGAGCGCTGTCTAAAAATTATGCCATTTTTATTATCCTAATCATGAGAATTAGCATGGCCATAGAGTAGGCAATGATACATTGGCTCATCCGGACAGTGACATGTGCATGGAGAAAGCTAAAGCTCTCAACTATGAAGAATGCAACCGAAGTCATGGGGCTCAAGTTCAGCTTCAAGACCGTAGAATTAGATTCAAAGACTACCAGTTTTCTGAATAGTTGAGCTTCTCCATCGAACAAAAACAGCGCTGGCGAGCCTCCGTCGGACAAAATGTTAAAATATTACCACGTCGAATTTCCGGCATCTCAAATCGGTGATGGCACTTAAGTAATTATTTTTTTTTACAAATATAAATATTTCCAAATTTTCAGGCGAACTAATTTTTATAGATGCCTGTAATTTACCTTTGTCATAGACATAGAGTAATGGTCCTAAGCAGGACCTTAAAAGGCTCAAGGGGAGATAGGAGAAGGAATTCCCCGGTATGGTGGAGGCTCCTCCCTGTAAGTTTTCTCCGTATTCCTTCTCACCAGGGAAGAAAAACATTTGGAGCGAACTTAGGGGACATCTTGTATGGTGAAGGTAGACACCACGTCAACTTCGGTTGGCTATCGCCGGGTAGGCAAGTATAGTAGCCTCTCGTGCCTGGAATGACAAGAAGGGAAGTCTCGATTTCCTGCAGGTCAGCTTGTGTTCAAAATTTTCGAGCGAACTAATTTTTATAGATGCCCTAATTTACCTTTGTTACATACATAGAGTAAGGGTTCCACTCATGAAACGGCGGCTGTGATCCTTAAAGTGACCTTAAGTGACAATATACCTCTTTGGGTATGGCTTACTTTTGAATTTGGGCAAGGCAAAATTGTGCTTGTCTTAGAGCAAGAAAAAGAAAACGGCTTCCATGAGGACCTCATGAAAACACGTTCTCAATGGCAAAGTAAATTGGTTTTCTGGTTAAGAAAAGTCAGTAAAAAGTTATTGATTTGTGTCGAGAGGTAGGCACGTTGTTACACATGGTATCAAAGCATACTTCTTTACCGGTGATGCCACTAAAACTAAAAATAGGTCAAAATTCACTAAAGGCCCACATAACGAAATCAGGTCATGGGAAACTAAATTCAATTCATTTTATACTCTGTTTACCTTAACACGAATGGGACATGATCTTAATAGTTAGACAAATCTAAGGTACGAAATGCAAACTCGAAAGCCTATCTAAATACACCGGGAATCATCCAAATCATCGGTTCGAGATATGGCAGACAATCAGAAGCAGTAGAAGAAATTTGGTGTTCCAGAAAGTGAGTAGGGATTGACCTGTGTCAATCAAGTTCACACTCTAATATTAATATCAATCAACTGAATTGTTGTTTTAGTCGAACAATCAATTGAATTCAATAGTTCCTTAAAGTTGCCCATACATACAATTCACATATACTCTAAGGGCGCGAATGATAACTATTCAATTTCTGAAATATATTTCTGACCAGAAAAAGATTTTTTTATTTTTATTCCCCAGACGAGTTTCTGAACAGAAATATGCATTTGATAATGACACAAAATTTCTCTTCCTGAAACAAAAATTCGTTTGATAACGACACAAAATTTTTCCTTCTTATGCTTTTTTCCATTCATCGACGGCCGCGCGGCCAACAGGGGATGGCAACAGGAGGCGGTGGCCGGTGGGGGTGGCGGCCGGCAAAGGGTGGTGGGAGGCGGCGGCCGATCGCCGGGGGGGAATGTGGTGGCGGCGGGCGGGGGGTGGCTGCGGGAGGTGATGGCGAACGACAAGAAGAATTTTTATTTCTCTTTTTGTTTCAAAAACTGAAAAGTAGAACTTCTCATTTCTATTCTAAACTTATTTATGGACTAAAAATATGTTCCAAAAAGAGAAAAAATGAAATTGCCTTACCAAATGGATTTCTGTTCCAAACTTGTTTTCGAGGACAAAAAAAATAGAAAAATAAAATAATTATCATGTGCGTCCTAAAAGACTCCTAGCTAGCACTCTAAAAGAGACTGTCTTCTATATTTTTTTATTGCTTAAAATAGATCAAATCTATTGGTTCATACGCATGTCAATTGTAGAAGGTTAGAAGTGTGACTTTGACATTTTGTGATTAAATGAAAAATGGTATGATGTACGATACTATGTGAACTAATTTCAGGTGTAATTTAAAGTCTCATAGCGAAGTGTTGATTTGAAAAGTATAGATATATAAAGGAAAAATGTAATGGCAAATTTTGAAATTTCCATAGAATATTTTCGACCGAGCTACCTATAGAGATCTTCTCTTAATCTTTCACTACATATATACTTACAACGGTAAGATATGTTAATTGAGTACTTCCTGATCGCTAATTCTTATCGAATGTGCAAGTGAACGTTCAAATTCAACCAAAAAAAAAAAACCTTCAAAACTTCTTTTTATATAATCAAGCCCTATATATTTTTGTAGTATTTTGACATAGCCACAAATTAAAGAAAAAAAAGTTGAAAAGGATGTTGGCTTTCGAGTGCATGAATTTCTTAATACACACATCAAGGGAGCTCATGTCATTAAGAGAATTGCCTGCTTAAAATGAAAGCAACCTAAAGTACGGTTGCAGTCCATACAAAGCGATAATCTTTGTTTCGGAGGTGATAATGAAATGATAACAACACTAGAGCATAGGCAAATCACGCTAAATTGATACAAGTTGGAAAATGATCTTAGCTATATAAAGCAACTCTGAAAAGACAAGATAAGAAATGCTGATCTTCATTCTTGCTCTGGAGAGTACCAAGCCATCGGAAAACCTCAAGAAGACTTCGATGAATTGGCAACGTCGATGACAAATCGATACTTAACATCCGCCTTTGACGGACGCTCCATGGCGGTGTTCACATAATCCATAGTAATAAGCTCAATATCCGAAACTATGTCGTGCTTCGCTGCGAAATCAATCATCTCTTGCGTCTCTTTAATCCCTCCAATAAGGCTTCCTCCCACAATCTTTCTTCCTGTCATTGTTAGTCTTAACTGTTACTTTTTTTCTCACATGTGAAACTCGACAATAAATTTTTACAAAAACTACAAAACATTAGAATTTTATCTTAGATACCAAAAACGAAGGCAGTTTTTTTAAGAAGAAATTCCAAAGGCGTGCTTAGGCTTACCCATAAGGAGTGGCATAGCAAGTAACTCAAGTGGCTTCTCTGGCGCACCAACCAAGACAAGCTTGCCATGAGTTTTCAAAAGACCGATTAAAGGCAAAGAGCATGCACAGTGAGACGTGTCAATGATCCCATCCATTGTACCTATCGCCGATCGCACGTAACAAAAGATAGTAAATATAAATTTATGTTACCTTATCCTTATCCCTATACATGATAAAAGAAAATCTTTTATGACTAGAACATACTTGCATCTCTTCAGTATTGCGGCTAACCAAGAATTCGTCGGCTCCCAAATGGTCCATGGCTTCCTTCTTCTTGTTAGGCGAAGTACTAATAACGGTCACCTTGAGGCCCATGGCCTTGGCAAACTTCACGGCCATGTGCCCCAGCCCACCCAACCCAACCACTCCTAAGTGCAATCCAGCCTTATCAAGCCCATAGTACTTCAATGGACTGTAGACAGTGATCCCGGCACAAAGGAGAGGAGCAACGCCATCAAGAGGCAAGTTGTCAGGAATTTTAATTACAAAGTGCTCATCTGATACCATGACGTCCGAGTAGCCACCATAGGTAATGGTTCCATCGTAGAACTTTGAACCATAAGACAGGATCATTTTGGGGCAGTAATTCTCAAGATCATCTTTGCAATTTGCACAGGATTGACATGACCCAACCAAACACCCAACACCCACTTTATCCCCAATTTTGAATTTTGTCACTTTGGTGCCCACTTCAGTGACCACACCGACAATCTCATGCCTGCATACAATGGCCAATTGGTCTAATTATTTTCTCAAAACTTTCGTTTATTTATTTAAGAAAATCGAAAAAGATTATGTTTTTGAGAACCATACCCGGGTACCACGGGATAAGAAGTTGTTCCCCATTCGTTTTTGACATTGTGGAGATCAGAATGGCATATACCACAATACAATACCTTAAAAGTCACATCTTTTTCTCCGGTGGCCCTATAAAAATGAATTTCCAGAAAAAAAAGATTTTCACCTTTGTTGCATTTTCACTGCACCAAAAAACAGAAACAGAGAACAGAAAGACCAAGACATGTTACCTTCTTGAGAACTTGAAGGGAGAGAGATGTCCTGAGCAATCTCTGGCTGCCCATCCCAAAGCCTTCACCGGGTGTTCATTCTCTGGTGACATTGCCATTTCACCAAGCATGACGAGCACTACTTCAAAACTTAAATCGGGAGAGAGTTCTGTAATTTGTGTGTGTTGGGATATCAGAAGAGATTGGCGATGAGAGGGTTGTGAGAACCGAGGTACATATATAGGGCTTGAGAAGGTGCGGGAAGAGGTGGTGATGACGTACTTAGTGAGCAAACTGCGGCAGAAAGCGTGCGTCATCATATCTTCTTGTTTTGACTAGTCAACCTTTGCAAGTAGGAGTGGTTGTAATCTAAAACATTTCAACTTCCATTCTATTATCAACACTTTGAATTTAGTTCTATCTATTTTTACAATATCCTGAAGACATTTGTTCTAAAACTTTTCGATTTCCAAGAACATATCTAATATAAAACGTTGCCCTCTCTAATTTAAACCCTTAAGGAATCTAAGCTAAAATGCTACCCTCAATAAAGCTAACGCAATTCTTTCTAAAACACTACTAACGAACTCGCCCCCACTTTTTTACCCCTCCTAATAACTAACAAAAAAACAGAGGTAATAACATGGGTGATCCCTGAACTTTTTTTCCATGTTCAATATGATTCTTGAATTTTTTTTTTGTACAATCTAATCCGTAAATTCTAAAAGTTTGATCATTGTAGTCCTTTCATTACATGTATTGCCACATTATGAATATATTTCTGAATTGGACTGCCGCGACAACATTTATTGGGCCGATATAGTGATGCGAACTAGTAGCCCGCTCTCCCAAGTCAACACTTACTTTTTTTCCCTTTCCTTTTATTCCTTCTATGGGTCTAACATGTGACATTTCCTCTTTCCTGAGGAAAAGGTAAAGAAAAGAGTTGATGGTAAAAAGAAAAATTGATCGTTTGCTAAAAATGAAGGAATGCTGAGCAAGTTGTACCCGTCCGACATCCGGGCTCTGTGAAGGTGTGATTATGCTTGGGTCTATTAAGAGCTGCGCACCGAACTTCTAAGTCCTGACTGATGCAAATTCAATAGCCGATCAGGGGGCAAAGTGGGCCTGAGTCCACTTCAATCTATTTGAAGCCCAGGACTTTCGACGAAAGTACACTCAGATGCACTGAAACGGGACCCCGAGACAGGGCGGCGAGCGACGTGTTTTTGGCGGGTTGACTCGCGATCCCACCTCGAACTTAGTCATACTACGAGATCTCGAATGAGTCGACAAGGTTACCGAGTTTCAACTTGTGAATCCGTGGGATTTCACGAGTTGGCTCGCGATCATAACTACGTTGGCCGTCCTTGTTGTTTTGTATGTGATTGATGCATTCGACATAAAAAAAAAATGTTTCCATATCGAGTATGGTTGAGTGCCCGAGACACTTATTGACAATACCAAACCATTAGAAGATGCAAAAGCGTTCAACTTTTTTATACAAATTAATCAATGCACAAGACATTGGTTATCACAGGTAGAATCTTTCAAGGTGCATTTATATCTAGTTTGACTATACTGCACTAAATCAAATAACTTTCAAGAAAGAATAGGTCCTGCATAAGATGTCACAAGATTGACTTCGGATATTTCGTGTATTATAGTCGAGAAGCGTTCAACTTTTTTATACAAATTAATCAATGCAAAAGACATTGGTCATCACAGGTAGAATCTTTCAAGGTGCATTTATCTCTAGTTTGACTATACTGCACTAAATCAATTAACTTTCAAGAAAGAACAGGTCCTGCATAAAAGGTCACAAGATTAACTTCGCATATTTCGTATATTATAGTCGAGAAGCGTTCAACTTTTTTATACAAATTAATCAATGCAAAAGACATTGGTTATCATAGGTGGAATCTTTCAAGGTGCATTTATCTCTAGTTTGACTATACTGCACTAAATCAATTAACTTTCAAGAAAGAACAGGTCCTGCATAAGTTGCCACAAGATTGACTTAGGATATTTCGTGTACTATAGTCGAGTTTTTGGTCACAAGTGTAGCGTTCAAATATGAAATTTCAACTATTAGTAGTATAAGTTAGTGTTTGACTATATTGCACTAAATCAATTGGTATGGCAATGTTTTAAATACAAATCTGTGCAAGGAAAAGTGGATTTTGCTGTCTTTTTCTCTCTCTCTCTCTCTCTCTCTTTTTCATTTGGTTAAGATGATGTTTCTCTCTTTTTCCTGGCAGCCCAAAACGACAAAATTCTCGTGCAAAAGTTGACTGGTCAAAAACAGGGGGAAGGTTCGACCAAAAAAAAAAAAAAGGGGGGGGGGGGGGGGGGAAGGGATGATGACGTCTAGAGCCTGGTTCAGTTTGCTCACTAAGTACGTCATCACCACCTCGTCCTGTATCTTCTCAACCCCCATATGTACCTCGTTTATCACTCCACCTTTCTCCTCACATCTCAAAACACACATATTACAGATTTCTCTTCCAGTTTGATTGAAGTAGTGCTCGTCAAGCTTTAGTGGAAATGGCAATATCAGCAGAGAATGAACACCCAGTGAAGGCTTTTGGATGGGCAGCCAGAGATTCTTCAGGACATCTCTCTCCCTTTAAGTTCTCAAGAAGGTAACACGCCTGGATTTTTCCGTTTTTTGGCGCAGCTGAAAATACAGCAAAAGGTGAACATTCTTATTTCCTCGAAATGCATTAATTTTCTTTTGTATAGGGCCACCGGAGAAAAAGACGTCACTTTTAAGGTATTGTACTGTGGTGTATGCCATACTGATCTGCACACGATCAAAAACGAATGGGGACTAACTTCTTATCCTGCGGTGCCTGGGTATGAGCTCTTAAAAACATCATCCTTTTTTATTTTCTTAGGTAACGAAATGTTTTTAGAAAACAATCATAGTAATTCGCCATTATATGTGTTGCGGAAGCCAAGCGATCGAACAATAAAATTGACAGAATAAGAAAATAAATAGGACATCAGATTTACGTGGTTCGGTCGTAATGACCTACGTCCACGGGGAGAGCAGCACGGAATTCCACTATAGATCAAGCGATACAACGGAGATTACAACCACACTCAAGTCACTCAAACACTCTCAGTGTTTCCCAAGCCCCAATTACACCCAATAACTCACACAGTGTTTAGCCCCACAATTCCTCACGAAATAATCTCTCAATCTCGCAAAAGAATTATATATAAATCTTATCACAAAATTTAATCGCTACGAACACTTAAACTCTTGAGTGTAATTTGCCGAAGAAAGACCCACGAAACTCTCTGCCAAGCACTCTATTTCGGCGCTTCAAGTCATTCTTCTGTCTATTGACCAACTGAGCAACTCGCTAATATATATGAACTGCTCATATATCCACCGTCTGAAGAAGTGCAACAAATCGCTACGCGTACTGCAGAGGGAAACATAATCAAGTGGGATTCGGTCAACGAAAGTCAACTTTCCTCTTTTCTATCTTTCTTTGACCGACTCTTCAATGCACTCAGCAAGGAAATTGACTCACGTAATCTCCTTTTTTTTTTATTATTTCTTTCCTTGGACGATTTGCTTTCCTTTCGTATTTGCTTGCCGACTCTTGCATGTTAGGAAAACAAATTTCCAATTTTTCCTTTTGCTCGATTTCGGAGATCCGCAAAATATTCAATTCGGAATATTTAGATTTCGCTTTGGGCTTAAACTCGAGACATATTTTCAACAATATGCAGTTATGAGATTGTTGGTGTGATCATTGAAGTAGGCACCAAAGTGACAAAATTCAAAATTGGGGACAAAGTGGGTGTTGCTGGTATGGCCGGATCATGTTGCTCTTGTGCAAATTGCAAAAACGATCTTGAGAATTACTGCCCCAAATTGGTCTCGACCTATGGTGCAAAGTACCACGATGGAACCACCACCTATGGTGGTTATTCGGACATCATGGTATCAAACGAGCACTTTGTAGTTAAAATCCCTGATAACTTTCCTCTAGATGGTGTTGCTCCTCTCCTTTGTGCCGGGATCACTGTCTATAGCCCATTGAAGTACTATGGGCTTGATAAAGCCGGAATGCACTTAGGGGTGGTTGGGCTTGGTGGGCTCGGGCACATGGCTGTAAATTTTGCTAAGGCCATGGGCCTCAAGGTGACCATCATTAGCTCCTCACCAAATAAGAAGAAGGAAGCTATGAACCATTTGGGAGCCGATGGATTCTTGGTTAGTCATAATACAGAAGAAATGCAAGTATGTTATAAACACATTAAATTTTTGTCTTTGAACATCTATTGTGGTAAGGATAACCGAATATAAATTAATGTTACTATCTTTTGTTAACTGTAGTCTGCGATAGGTATAATGGATGGCATCATCGATACTGTCTCAGCTGTACATGCTATTTTGCCTTTGATCGATCTCTTGAAAACTCATGGAAAGCTTGTCATGGTTGGTGCACCAGAGAAGCCACTTGAGCTGCTTGCTATGCCACTCCTCATGGGTAAGCCTAAGCAGGTCTTTTGAATTTAATAATACTTCTTGGAGAAAATTGCCTTCATTTTTGGTGAATAAGGTGAAATTCTAATGTTTTTTCTAGTTTAAGTAAAAGGTTCATTAGAGTTCCATGGACAGAAAAAAGTGACAAATAATACTTATAATTACAGGTAGAAAGATTGTGGGAGGAAGTTTGGTTGGAGGGGTTAAGGAGACGCAAGAGATGATTAATTTCGCAACGAAGCACAACATAATTGCGGATATTGAGCTTATTCCTATGGATTATGTGAACACTGCCATAGAGCGTTTGTTAAAAGGAGATGTTAAGTATAGATTTGTGATCGACATTGCCAATTCATTGAAGTCCTTTTGATGATCATTACAATGGATTACTACTTGGCTGAGCGTGGAGGAGGATCGACTTTCTTAACATGTTTTTCAGAGTCATGTTTGACAACTTAGATGATTTTTCAATTTGATAATTTGCTTTTACTTAGTATGGTGATATCACTTCATTGTCTCCTTTGGAATAACGATGAGTACTTTGTGTAGATAGCAACCAAAGCCGATCCCCTTTCTCAACAATCCTCATTAACTTTTGTCTGAATACCACTTTACATCTTCTACTTTTAAAATAACACTTTGCACTATGGGACTTATAATTAGACATTAAATTACACCATACATCAATTGATATTATAGCTTATAAAATTGTCATATTCTTCCAAAATTAGCAATCCATTTACATGTCAGCATATAAATACATGTAAAACTAATACATTTGTCCATTTCTCAACAATTTAATAAGGAAAACAAATCGAGAAACTTTCTTAGAGCGCTACTTAGGTTTTTTTCAGAGATCGTGCAAATTGTATGTAGTTGGTAAGTTTAGAGGAACTATTCTATTCAATTGCTTCATATCTATACCGCCTATGGAAAACAATTGACCTACGTTGTTATGGAAACTCAAGAATGACGTTGTTTCTGAGTAATTAGAAACGATGTGGTTTCGCTTAGTTAACATGTGTATTGTACATGCCAGGGCTGTTAGCCACTTCAAATGTTATGTTAACCCATATGGACGGAAAATTTAATGATGGTCGTTTTTACCCCTCATGTAAAAAGTTCGTCTACTTTCTTGGGTCATTAAAAAATTGCAAATTTTTTTATCTTACGGATAAATTCCTGCATATATTTTCTTAGATCGGTCACACAGAATCATATAAATCATACGCAGTTCTAACACTTGTCACTTCTATTGCGATCAATTTGCTTCTGAAGCCCCCGACGAAGCAACATATTGATTGCAAGACGTACCACTCTTTCGTTCATTGCAGCAAGAGCTTCTCATTGCCATTGAGTGCCACAGCTTTCTAAGGTAAACATGAGCAAAACAAAAGAAGGAACGACTCCATCCTTGAAACAAGCGTATGGACGACTCATAGTACATTAATTACTGTGATATTGCTTATATTCAATCTCTCCGATCGATCTTCTACAGATGAATGGCCACGTGCGGATCTTCTGTTGTGCGAAGTTCATATGGATAAAACCCATTTTCATTTGATGAATTCACGTCCGTCGTCCCATAAACCTGTCACAGTGCTTTAGTCTCGAACTATATACACCATTAGTTTAGACAAAATCATGAATTTCCCTATGATGAATAGACATACCTTTTTGAGTAGCTCCATGTTCTCCTGGCGAACTAGGTTCAGCTTCCTATATAGTTCCACATTTTCTTGATGAATCATACTTCCCTACGATTCCAAACGAATTTCATGCTTAATCGCGAGAATTCGCGAATCGCTTCAACAGCTAAATGGGTTCGATCTTGGAAGTACCTTTCGACTCAATTCTCGTATTTCGTCATTCAAAATCTGCTCCTGCAATTTCAGATGTTTGTCAGTATAAAAGGTTGACCATGGAATTTTAGTGTTGATAGCCATGTAGTCAAATTGCATTTCTAACCTTCTTAACTCGGACACCTCGCAAACTCATCTCCAACTGGTTTTCTATGTTTTGTACGTCCTTCACATTTAGTCCGCTGAGTTGCTCTCCCATCAACTTCCTAACTCAACACAATGTACAATATTTGTTAAGATTGTAGAGATGTATGCAATTGCTAATTGCAAAATGCCTTATATATATGTGCGCACCTTTCTTTTACGAAGATAAGGTAGGCAAAGTATGAACCCATGAAATACCTGACTAACCTCATGCATTATATCTAGGTTTCTCATTTAAATTGGGAAAATGTTATATACAGTTCTAAAACTGGTGAGGGGTATAAAGTCTTTGTCTTGCTAAAATTCAGTTAATTAATCAAATGGGGATATATCTTGGAAATACTAGCGGTGAACAAACTTTTCTTCACGAGTGGCATCTACACCATTCATCTGTTACTTGTGGCCAACCTGCCATTTCACTAACCAACATCAAGGGTAACAAAGATCACTTGTGGAGAAAGCTCTCTCCACCAATAGTACTTTTAAATAAAATCTAATTCATTAATTAGGCCGGGAATGTATTGCTCTATAAAATATAGGCGATATGGGATTAGTAATATCTGAAATCCAATATCCCCATTCCTCACCTCTAGAAGGATTACACATGCTCGGTTTGAAAATATGCCATACTATTTTGAGATTGTGCGAGACTTATCTACCGACACAACCATATCTAGATGATGTGAGATAAGATACATATCTTAAACCCGATAGGCATGTTAAACGGTAGAGTGCTAGGATGTCATATAGAAGAAATTAACATGGAATCAAGGTCTAAAATAGGAAAAATCTTTAAGGAGAACCTAGCGAGAGGGACAGTTCTTTACGCATCTATTCCAGGAAAAGCTCGATGAACATACCATATATGTGCAATATGACCTCAAGAACCACAAAGTACTGCATTAGGAGAAAACTGTTACCTGTAAGTTTCACGTAGATTCTTCAATTCTTGCCTTAACATTGCCGCCTCCCTTTGCCAAAACTGCAAATAGGAAGAGCAAGAGACAGGGGTTACAGTCGCTCGGCATTCAAGCTTAACATGCTCCTTTATTGTATTTTCTATTTTTGTTTTTACTTACGCTTAAACTCTAAACAGAAAGTCATGATTACTTCATAAGAACCTTAGATTGTCATGGAGGGATATCTTGCTGTCGTGCAAATTATATATTACTTAATCAACGTTGATGGATGATAAAACAATGCCAAGCTTTGTATTCATATCTTGTCTGCTGTTCACATCATATGTTTGAGATGTCACGTAAATGGAGGACAAAGCATGTTCGTGAAGGAAAAAGAGCAACATTCAGGTCAAGAAAAAGAGCAGTTCTGCAGATTACTTTTGACTAGTACAAAAACATTCAATGGAATTGAAGAGTGAAGTGTAATACCTTCACATCGGTTAATGGATTGAGAGGCTGCTGATGCTCTTCTTTCGCTGTCTGGTATCTTTCGAAAATTGACTTCATGCTAGTGCAATACATAACCATGAAAAAAAACTATATTTCATAAAAAACACTTAAGTCAAAAGAGTCATTTGTCTCACACATTCTTTTTCAAAATTACCCTTGCAACTACAATATCTAATTACTGAGTAACCACCCACTTTTTTCTTTGCTTAACCCATTCTTTTGTCTCAATTTTCTACAGGAGCCAATATTTTTCTAACATTTCCTCGATCCTCACCACGATGGAACATTATGGACATCATTATAGAAGTTTTTAGCCTATACTTTTGCACATGATGGTTTTCATCTTACCATTAGAATGATAAAACTGAATTGATTTAACAAATAGAAGTTATAATATGATCTCTAAGTAGTTGTGCATGCGCTACTAAATCTATATTGCTAATGCGGAATAACTAGTGATGCCGCCTATATTACTAAGGCTTACCGAAATTGGTTTACAAGTGGAACGACCCTTGCAATATTATCATTTCACTTATCCACTGATTTCAATTTTTTTTCAACATAATATAGAGATAACTTCTAGTATAATTGCTAACCAACCGTAACACTAATACAAGAGAAATATAACTTATGAAGGGACCATAAGTTGTACATAAGGGAAGGGAGTAGATTGAAGAGCTAGATCAGTGCAAGGTCACGAGGGTAGCTCATACTTTGTTTAAAAATAATTCCAACCCTTGTACTATTATCCGGCGACAACGTAAGTCCTATAGGTGAATTTTCTCTAAAAATTTGTGAGAAATTGTTCAGTCAGGACCGGCTACACTGACATGTGAGTCCTACTTGTACATATTCCTAATGGAAATTACATTTCAGTTCCTATACTTTTTGGAATGTTCAAGCTTAGTCCCTATACTTTTTGTATTTCTTATAACAATATTAATCCTCCTACCATTTATTGATGGCATTTTAAATACAATTTTTCACATTTCCATTCAAAAAAATTTATAAATGATGTTGGCTATGACATAACACACATATGGATATAAGTATTTATAACTTCAACCGATGGCTATACTAGTAATAACAGAAGTAACTTTTATTAAGCCACTTAAGTATTCAAGAGTTGAGATAGGCACTCGATACTACATACAATCAATAAGACATGGACTTGTTGGTGTTACTATAATCGGAAGAGTTTACATAAACCGTGTAAATATTTTGCCTATTAGATATTGAGTTAAAGTCGTGGCTAGGAGATTTAAAAGCTACCTACGTTTCTCTAAGACTAGTCCTAGGTTTTTCTTTATGTATCCAAGCTGAAAATACGGATGCCATTGTTGCATATAGTGTAATTATTTTTATGGGACGGTCAATCTGATAGGCACGCTTGTGCAAGTTGGAATCACCAATGGTTGAGTCAGGAAAACCAAGGAGGTCTGGTTTTGTTTTTTATGACGAAAAAACCCATTTTAGATAGCTAAATTTCGAATACATGCATTATCTTACTAATCTCATTAATTGGGTAAGACATAAGCCAAAGGTCATGTGAGTAGTGATCTAAACATAAAATATATACACAAGCTAAGTGGCACAGGGAATCAAACATGTATCATGCGTCTAATTCACACAAATGAATTCGTTCTTTTAAGCACCGATCCAAACCCATGGAAAGAGAAAAACAATTGCTAGCTAGAGTAATCAATTAATTTTGACAACTTTCCAAGGTTGGAAAACAAAATGGCAATGCTTCCCTAGGATACTGTACTTTGAGAAACAACACGAATACTATTAAAGTATCTTGTACCGCCTATCGCTTGCTAATGGCTAAAACTGTCCACATAGACCGTCCTCCATGTAGTAATTTAAAATTCTGTATCGGCATTTCTTAATGGATTTTTTAAGTGTTTTGCGATCATTATTTTGTTGGCCAAGAAAGAGTTTTTCCCTTTTTTGTGACGAGGTAATGTGATATTGATAACCTATCTAGTATTCTCATATTCACATGGAAGAGTACTTAAAAGGTAACGATTCTAATGAAACATGATGATACTTATCATACTAGTGCATGTGACACCAAGTAAGCGTGTATCAATAAGATGCGAATACTATATAGATTCCTCTCATCAACCACAAA